AAGCTTGCTAGCTAGGCCAAAAGCCAGGAGCCTGGAACTACATCCAGGTCTTCTACAAGGGTTGTAGGGATCCATGTTCTAGGGTTATTATTAGCTGCTTCCCAAGATGTGTATTAGTAGGAAGCTGGATTAGAAGTAAAGCAGCTGCCTTGCGGCGCCAGCACACCGGGTTCTAGTCCCAGTCGGGGTGCCGGATTCTGTCCCAGTTGCCCCTCTTCCAGGCCAGCTCTCTGCTGTGGCCCGGGAGTGCAGTGGAGGATGGCCCAAGTGCTTGGGCCCTGCACCCCATGGGAGACCAGGAGAAGTACCTGGCTCCTGCCATCGGATCAGCGCAGTGTGCCGGCCACAGCGCACCGGCCGCGGCGGCCATTGGAGGGTGAACCAATGGCAAAAGAAGACCTTTCTCTCTGTCTCTCTCTCTCACTGTCCACTCTGCACTCTGCTTTTTTCCGAAAAAACCTCCTTTGAACATTCAATCAGGCAAAAAGTAAAGCAGCCAAGACTTGAGACAGGCACACCAATATGGGATGTGGGCATCAACTCAGTGTCCTGACTATGCCACAGCAACCTGTTGCTGTGCCAAATGCCTGCTCCCCACCTTTGTGGTTTTTGTTTTTAAGATTTATTTATTTATTTGAAAGGCAGATTTACAGAGAGAGAAAGAGAGGGAAAGACAGAGAGAGAAGTCTTCCATTGCTGGTTTCACTCCCCAAATGGCCGCAATGGCCAGAGCTGGGCCAATCCAAAGCCAGGAACCAGGAGCTTCCTCCAGATCTCCCATGTGGGTGCAGGGGTCCAGCACTTGGGCTATCTTCTGCTGCTTACCCCGGCACATTAGCAAGAAGCTGGATCGGAAGAGGAGCAGTGGGGACTCGAACCAATGTTCATTTGGGTTGCTGGTGCAGCAGACGGAGCCTTAATCTACTATTGCTGCTCCAGTGCCTACTCCTCACCTTTGTCTAAAGAAAGATCTTATTGGAATAGGGTTCACCTCACCAACCTCACTTAATATAAATACTCTGTTCCAAATAAGTCCCATTCTGAAAGTAGTAGGGGTTCAGACTTCCATGTATCATTTTAGGAAGATACAATTCACCCCAAAACAACACTGTACCCAAATTCCATGAATTACAAAATTTTCTCATGTTAGCTGCTTAGAAAAAGAACTATTGCCTTCCCTTTGTAAGCTCCTAGAACTGTTCTCTCTAATCTAATTCCTTCCCCAGCCTGGGTGGTTGCCACACCTGCGTTTGCCAATCAGTACTTTCTGCTTTGGCGTCCTTGGACTTCTATCTACCTCTCAACTTAGCTGGACTGTTGAGCTTTTCTTGGTTTCCATTTCCTCACTGAAACCTAGAAGTCTCTCAAGACAGCAAGCTGGGGCAGGTGTTGGCACATCCTCTTTGGTTCCCATCTCTCTGAGATCCCTATCCTTCTTTGCTTGATGTCCAGATATTTTTGTCTGTTTTCAGATATTGCAAGTAGATAGGTAAAAATCTAGTCCCTACTCCTCCATCATGCCTAAAAGCCCTAGTCTGCTTTGCTAGTCTATATCTGGGTTGCTGATCACTCTGTGTGTGTGTGTGTGTTGTGTGTGTGTGTGTGAGAGAGAGAGAGAGAGAAAGAGAGAGAGAAAGAGAGAGAAATCATACAAGATTGTATCTTGGTACCAGTATAAATCAATAGACTTCAAAGTTAACTAGGCTCTAAATGGTGCCTCTAAGTAATTCTGTAATTCTGTGTTTTCTTATCAGCTATCTCTGTCTTATTCAAATATCTTCTTTTCTCCAACCTCATGTTGCCTGTGTCACTCTTAGCAGACTACATTGCCTCCCTACCACACAGAGTAATAGCAGCCATCAGTTGGCTTGGCTCATGTCTGCCCAGGTGGAAGGCATGCACCGTGTCCACTTTCCTTTCTGTCATTGTGTAGAACTGATCTTCCTCACATCTTGGACTAATTCCTTCATGTGTTCTCAGGCATATCCTCTTTCCTCTTTGGGGACTTTGCTCAATAGATTGCACCCCCTTTCTCTGCTTTACATTAGCATTTAAATGTTCAAGTGTCTCCCATCTTTAAAGAAAAATCCCCGCTTTGATTCAGCTTCTCCCCGTCCTTGCTTCTCTATGGTTATCACCTTCTCTCAAAGCCAGATTTCCTAACAGGTTGTCTATATTTCTTTCTCTTTCTTTATTTCTTTAATGCCCATTCACTTCCTAACCAACTGCAACCTAAATTCAGTGTCCTTTATTCCCTTGAAACTAAGGTTACAGGTTTTGTTTTCTGTTGAACATTTTTTGGTCCTTATCTTACATCCTCCTAGGATCATTGTTTTGTATAGCTAGTTACTAATACCCACTGCTTTAGAATTGCAGAGGAATGTGTTAAGCATGTAGGGACACAAGCTGGGGCCCCTGGAGATGATGATTTAGTACAGCTGGCACAGGGCTTCATAATCCATTTTTTAATGTTCCTTGATTTTGTGCAGCTGGTTTTGAGAAATACTGTTCCCTACAGTTTTTATCTAACCTGACTGTTGGTAATCATTTGACACCATACAGTCTTTCTTGAGACCTACTTTCCTTGACATCCTTGGCAATATATTTGTCTTGCTCCTCCCACCCTCATCCCTGCCTCTTCTCACCACTCCAGCTTCTTTCACCTTCAGCCTTAGTCACCTTTGGAAGATCTTCCCTGACAATTGGAAAGTTGATGTAATTCAGGGTTCATTTTTAGGCCTCCTCTCCTCACTCCATCTGCCTTCCCTGATAGACTCAGTCATTTCCAAGTTCCCAACTGTTGTCTTTTTTTTGTTAAAGATGTATTTATTTTAAAGGCAGAATAATGGGGGTAAGGAAAGGAGAGAAAGAGAGATTCCATCTACTGGTTCACTCTCCAAGTGCCCACAATAGCTAGGTCTGGACAGGGCTGAAGCCAGGAGCCAGGAACTCCATCCAGGTCTCCCGTGTGGGTTGCAGGCTCCCAGGTATTTGGTTCATCATCCACTGCCTCTCAGGATGCATTACTAGGAAGCTGGATTAGAAGCAACAGTGCTGGGACTTTGTCTGATATGGGACGTGAGCATCCCAAGCAGTGGCTTAACCCACTGTGCCTCAACACCTGCCACCTCTAGTTGTCATCTTTTTTTTTTTTTTAAGATTTATTTATTTATTTAAAAGGCAGAATTACAGAGAGAGAAACAGACAGAGAGAGAAATCTTCCATCTGCTGGTTCACTCTCCAAATGGCTGTAATGACTAGAGCTGGGCCAGGCCAAAGCCAGAAGTCAGGAGCTTCTTCTGGGTCTCCCAAGTGGTGTAGGGGCCCAAGGACTTGAGCCATCTTCTGCTGCATTAGCAGGGAGCTGGATCTGAAGTGGAGCAGCTGGGACTTGAACTTGCACTCGTATGGGATACTGGCACTGCAGACTGCAGCTTACCCTGCGATGCCACAGTGCTGGCCCCCCCAAGTTGTCATCTTTAAATTGGTCATTATTTGATCTGTGTCTCTATGCAGCTATTTCTTGGGCCTCAGATTTTTCTCTCTAGCAGGCTTGAATGTACCATGGATACTTTAAGTTCTTTATGTTCAAAATGAAATTATTTTCTCTACCTGCTAAAACATAGTTTCTATCTTTTGTTCTTTATTTCAAGTCTTGTCACTAGTATCTCCCCACATACTCAAGTCCAAACCCAGGAAAGGAACAATCTTACTCCTACTTTTTCCTCAAAATTAAAAATGCATATTTGATTTAGTGGTCTTGCTTTGAGGATTTATCCTGCAGACATACCTACATTCCTATAGTGTGATGAAGGTCATTCATTGTGACATGTGTAAGCATAATAAAATATTGTAAACAACCTAAGTATAGCTATCTATAAGGGGTTGAATAGATGAAAGTAGATATCCATACGCTGGAATACTATGATGTGGTTGTAAAAATGATTGTGGAAGCTCTCTGTGTACTAAGAGGATCTCAAGGATATGAAGTTAAATGAAATAACAAGAAACAGAACAGGACACGTGCTATCTTTTATGTTATAGAGTAGAAAAATACATATCATTTATATTTATATAAATGAATACTAGAATATATAAAAATGAATGAATAATTCACGTTACTATTGAGTTTTTTAAATTATCAAATGAGATGTTTCCTCTATGATCATGCTTATGTTCAAAGTAAGCTTTCAGCCAAACTGAGAGCAAGTTCTGAGTCAACAAGGTGGATATTTAGATTTTTTTGGTGTCAGAAATATCTCCTACTTTCTCTTGTGGTCACATTGCAGCCCATTGTTAATATCTTATCTAACTTGCTTGTCTGTAACCAGCACCACGCTTTCTTGTTTCCTCTATGATAGATTCTCTCTTAGCTCAAAACCTGTTATGGTGTTTGGAATTCCTTCCCTCACATTTTAATCATAAGTCTGTGTTTCCCATTCTTTGCTTATGGTTTTATTTGTGTGGTTTTAGCATTGATTGTTTTTTCTCCAGTATGATAGTAGAACATTAGAAATTACTCAACCATCCAGTGTATCTGTTTAAGACACATCTCTACTGGCAGGCACTGTGGCGCAGTGGATTAAAGCCCTGGTTTGAAACACCAGCATCCCATATGGGCGCTGGTTCTAGTCCCAGCTGCAGCTCTCTGCTGTGGCCTGGGAAAGCAGTAGAAGATGGCACCCGTGTCGGGGACTGGGAGGAAGCTCCTGGCTCCTGGCTTTGGATCAGCATAGCTCCAGCCAACTGGGGAGTGAACCAGTGGAATGAAGACTTCTCTCTCTTTCTCTGTCTCTCCTCTCTCTGATTTTCAAATAAAATAAATAAATAATTTTTAAAAAGCTGGTATTTCACTATACCACTTTTTTATTGCTGCTTTTGTTGTTCTAAGAATATTTAAAGTTGGCTATAATATTGTTTTTTTAAAACATCACCATAGTTCTTTTTTTTCACTCTGAAGACCAATCACTGATTGCTTCTGATTTATTTGTTTTCTAAAGGTGTTCTTAAGGATTACCTTAGAGAACTTCCTTCTCCTCTGATAACAAAGCAGCTTTATGAGGCTGTATTAGAGGCAATGGCAAAAAGTCCTTTGAAAATGTCATCAAATGGTTGTGAGAATGACCCAAGTGACTCCAAGTCCACTGTTGACCTGCTGGATCATCTGCCAGATGTTGAGAAGGTAAGCAGAATCAGTACACATCGTTCCTGGAAACCAGTTATTGGAGCTAAAAATAATTCTTTAGGTATTTGACATTTGTGGTACTCCTGAGTTTAAGCTCTGCCTCTGTTGCTTTTAACCCATTATTTCCCATTGTCTTACATATTTTAGGACATCTGTAAAGACTTAAATCAAGCAATAAATATACCACTTATGGTAATTTTGAAAGAATACAGTACCATTGAAATATTTGCAGAATTGGAAACTTGGTACTTAATAAGTTAAAAGTCTCAGCCTAAATCTAGAAATCCTTCTCAAACAGAATAAATCTTCTATGTATAAGGTTTTAGCTTAGGCATGAATATGTCCTATAAATTTTTAAAGTATATTGTTACCTTTTTAAAATATTATGTCTTTTATAGAAAAGTAGAACAGTGTAGAAAATATTAAATTGCATTTATCAGTATCCCAAGACAACTATAATTGATATTTTGATGTGTTTCCTTCCAGTATTTTTCAGACATGGTATACATGGCTTAGCCTAAAGACTTAAGCAACACTCTCCCCTTCAAGTTTTTCTTCCTTACCCCTTCTCCAAAATTTAAATTTTAGGAACAGCATCATCAGGAGTGTCTGCAGGAGGAACAGAAGGGTGGCTAGGCCTACAGAACCAGCCTTAGCCTGACTTTAGCTGTTGTCCTTTAGAACAAAAGGGTATAAGGTAAAAGGACAGCTGGGCTTTTGCAGATGAGGTCAACATTGCCTACCTTTCTTGTCACATGTGGGCAGAAAATACAAGCACGAGTGGGTGGAAATGTAAAGCCCAGTGAATTTATTTACTAGTTTACTACTGCTGGTGGCCTGGGAAAAGCAGTGGAAGATGGCCCACGTGTTTGGACCCCTGCCACCCACATGGGAGACTCGGAGGAAGCTCCTGGCTCCTGGCTTCAGCTTGGCCCAGCCCTGGCAGCTGCCATTTGGGGAGTGAACTAGCAGATGGAAGCTCGCACTCTCTCTCTCTCTCTCTCCGTCTCTCTCTGTAATTCTGACTTCCAAATAAATAACTAAATCTTAAAAAAAAAAAAAAAAGAAAATTTAAAATTGATAGAAGAAAGAAATCATTGTCTAGGCCAAAATAACAGTAATAAAAATGATAACAAATTTTTATTAAATAGTATGTGATCAACAGTGTAATAAGGTTTTTTTTTTTTTTTTTTAAAGATTTATTTATTTATTTGAAAGGCAGAGTTACAGAGAGGCAGAAGAAGAGAGAAGTCTTCCACCTGCTGGTTCACTTCCCAAATAGCAGAAACGGCCAGAGCTGGGACAGTTCAAAGCCAGGAGCCAGGCCACCAGCAGGGAGCTAAATCATAAGTAGAGCAGTCAGGACATGAACCGGTGCCCATATGGCCCCTGATTTTAAATTTTCAAAACAAACATTGTGAGGTAGTAATACAATGAATTCCTATATACCCTTCACCCCATTTTCCCTATTAATATTGCACACTAGTATATTTGTCACAATTAATGAACCACATCCTGCTAATAATGTCATTTTGATTTTTTCTTTCATTCTTTTTTCTTCCTTATTTTTCAGCTTTTAAAATTATAGTCATTAATTGGCACTCGTTTCTTCCATATAACTGCCGAAGAAGAAATCACACACTGATTTTGTTAAATGAATGATCATATGCCATTAGTTCAGAAAATGTCATTCCTTTCCAGATATTCTTAATTCTAAATAATCATTCTACTTGTTGAATCAATTGCCCTTATTAGTTTCTGTAAGGATTAGTAACATTTTTTATTTATGTTTTTAAGAAGGATTTATTTATTTATTTGAAAGGCAGAGTACAAACAGAGAATGAGACAGAGAGAGAGAGAGAGAGAGAGAGAAATATAAATATCTTTCATCTGTTGGTTCACTCCCCAAAAGGCCACAATGGCCAGAGCTGGCCAGGCTGAAGCCAGGAGCTAGAGCTTCTTCTGGGTCTCCCGTGTGGTTTCAAGGGCCCAAGTACCTAGGCCATCTTCAGCTGCTTTCCCAGGCTCATTAGCAGGGAGCTAGATAGCAAGTTGATCAGTCTGAACCACTGGTCTTGAACCAATGCCCATATGTTATGCCAGCCCTGCAAATGAGGCTTAACCTTTTATGCCACAGCGCTGGTCCAGCAACATGTATTTTCAGTAAATTTTTTCTCATTTCTAACTGTACTATTCTTTTCCTTTTTGTGGTTTGCCTACTTAAAATATTTATTAGTTAAGAAGTATACTGGCCTTTTGAAAATACATCTTTCGTAATCTGGGTCATTCCACAACTTGTGTTCTGAAATAGTTATTTCTAGATTTAAGATTATTATCCAGTACTTCCAACCACATGATTTACCTGTACTTAAAATGAACACCCTTACCCTAAAGCTCTTTCTTTTACAGCTTTTGCTGCTGTCATTATAGAGAAGGGAAGAGAGAGAGAAGTTCATGATGCATTTTCCTAGGGACTCTTTCTGAAATTTGGAATGTATCCATTAGCATTTTATACAGTGTATGTTTAACATTTAATTAATTAAATTGTATTATTGGGACATAATTTAGGTCCTATATTATGTTTCTATAAGAAAATGTGTTTTACGTTCCAAACATCCAATTTACAAGCAAACCATTGAAATAACTCTTTTAAAAAAGTAAGAGGATAGGGCCGGTGCTGTGGCACAGCAGGTTAAAGCCCTGGCCTGAAGCGTCGGCATCCCATATGGGTGCCGGTTGTAGTCCCGGCTGTTCCTCTTCCGATCCAGCTCTCTGCTATGGCCTGGGATAGCAGTGGAGGATGGCCCCAAGTCCTTGGGCCCCTGCACCCACGTGGGAGACCCAGAGGAAGCTCCTGGCTCTAGGCTTTGGATCAGCGCAGCTCCGGCTGTTGTGGCCATCTGGGGAGTGAAGCAGCGGATGGAAGACCTCTCTCTGTCTCTACGTCTCTCTGTAACTCTGTCTTTCAAATAAATAAAATAAATCTTTTTTTTTTTTAAAGTAAGAGGGTGACTCTCTATATTTTTTTTTATAAATTGTGTCCTTACTTACAGATACACATTCTACCAGAGGCTACATTTATACTGTAGTCACAGATTATTTGAAATCATTACAGTCATCTGGTTTTGTGAGCTAAAGAGAAATGTATCTTTTCCAAGAAGTTAAATCAATCCCCTGCGGCTTTCTAATTTTCATGGGTTTGCAAGCTATCTATTGAGGCTCCTTTGAATGGTCTGTACAGAATATTAGAAATAAAGGAAATGACTGGAAACAAAAAAAGAAATTGTGTCCTTGAATTTGCCCTTCTGTGACTATATTAAGTAACTTAATTTAATTTAGGCAACCCTAAAGATGTTATTGGATCACTTGAAACTGGTGGCTTCTTTCCATGAAGTGAATAAGATGACCTGCCAGAATTTGGCCGTGTGCTTTGGACCAGTATTATTAAGTCAGAGGCAGGAGACCCTCACCCACAACAACAGAGTCTTCACTGATTCAGAAGAGCTTGCAAGTGCTTTGGATTTTAAAAAACATATTGAAGTTCTTCATTACTTACTCCAGCTTTGGCCAGGTACATGATCCTCTAGAAATGTTTTTCTCTTTCAGTGATAAGGTGTTTGAATGAGCTAATCATTCAACATGTCTATATGTGATTCAAGAAAATCTGATCTGGATTTTGCTTTTTCAAATATGAATTGGTATCTGGTTTTAGTTTTTTCTGTTTTAGCTTTCTGCCTTTGCTGATAATTTTGTGGACATATAGCTCAGTACACATTTTAGATATAATCAGATCTGGATTTGAATTTATTAGCAATCTGACCTTGGATAAGCTCCTGAACTTCTTAGAGCCTCAGTTTTGTCTTTTGTCATACAGATTTAAAAATGTGTTGATAGACTTTGCATGCAGATTATATAAAAGACTGTGTACAAGGCACTCAGGATATCTCTTAACACATAACAGATACTCAGTAAATATTAACTTTTTACTCTTCAAAATTTTAGTTTAACTAGTATGAAGCAGAATTCATATTTCTCCAAGTTCTTTCTCTTGATATCTTTACTGTATTCATGGTTATTCTTTAAGTTATCCCAGCTTCAACTGGTAATTTTCTTTGATTTTAGCTTTCATATCCATCCATTTTCCAGTCAATAACCAAAGGCTGATAATACTAATAATATCTCTTAGGTAGTTTCAGCTCTAAAATAGATATGTATTAATTTGGTGTTCCATAAAGGATCCTGTATTTAAGGTCCACAATTTTCTGGTCCTGTAGTATCTGCTGCTTGCCTCGACCCACACTGCATGAGACCATGAAAGGACTCAGGTGCTTATGGTGGCAAATGTGCCCTGGAATCAGCCTGGATCCATGCCTGGACTGTGGCACTGGGCTGCGGGGTGGGTTCAGCTTCTCTAAGCTTCAGTTTGCTTCTCTCTAAATAGTGCTGATGTCAAGACTGTTGTGAAGATTGAGATAAATAGCACGTAAGGCACTGGCCAAAGTGTTTTAGCACAAAGTGAGCCCTTCATAAATATTCCTTGTTACTCCTTTATTGATATGTATGAGAAGACAAGACCAAAGTGCAAAGCAATGCTTCATCTAGTCTTTTAAATTGTTTTTTACTTATTTATTTTTGAAAGGCATAGAGAGAAACACGCACAGAGAAAATGTTGGTTTACTCCCTACAGTACCCACAACAGCCAGGGCTGGGCTTGGCCAAACCCAGGAGCCCAGAACTCAGTCTTGGTCTTCCCTGGGTGGCAGGGATCAAGCACTGGAGCCATCTCCCACAGCCTTCCAGAGCGCACCTCAGAAGGAAGCTGTATTCGAAACAGAGTAGCCAGGACTTGAACCAGGCACTCTGAAACAGGATGTGGGCATCCCAAGGGGTGATTTAACTGCTGTACCAAATGCCTCTCCCTGATCTAGTCTTTTAAAACAAATTTAATTTATTGTAAAAGTGAATTAAAATTAATAAAAATATTCAACTTTTTAAATATTTACACGGGCTTACAAATTATTTCTAATTTGTGTTTTACCTGAATTAGAGTGTATTATTAATTATTTTAAAATCCTCAATGAAGATTCTCTGGGTAATTGCACTGATTTCTGCATCTGACACTCAGCATCAGGAATCTGTAAGAATGTATGTTTCCTGGCTTTTTCTAGAACTGCTTTTATTCTAACTAATATCAGGAGTTGGGAGGAGTCATCTTACCACGATCACAAGTGAAAGCTTCCTTCCCTGGAGATGCCATTAAGTTTACTATTCACACCTGAGTTCTTTGTCATTCATTGTGTATCAGAGTTTTAATGCCATTTTATTATTTTATTATAGCCATCATAGTTTTGGGTTAGGGAGTAGAAACCCATGTTATAGAAAAAGCAGGTTCAGATTTCATAATCACTCTATTTTAATGACAACCTTGAACATTATCTCCTAGTTAATAGCACCTTACTCCAAGGTTTTGCGTTGTTGGCTTTAAAAATAACTGTTCTTTTTTCCTATGACTTACTATTTTTCTTTAGCTGTAGTACCTCAAACAAAGGACAGACCAGGACAGCAGGATGAGGGGAGAAACAGCAAATAGTGTTGCCCTCTCAGTCACCTGCTATTGAATTAAAGAAAAGGTGGAGATTGAGTAATTGTGGTATAGTTACTGGACCTGATGAACTTGATGGTGACGTAGACCACATGGTGAGGACTGGGCTGTGTTGCCCATCTCCATGCATTCCGTAGAAGACTTTGGCTTTCCCTGCTGTGTACCTTATTTTTCTTTTTGGAACTTCCCTCACTAAAAAGCAGTTTCTTTTTATTGTGTGGTGTATTTTATTTTATATATTTTAACTTTTGGCCAGAAGATAATTTGCTTTGAGATTTCTGTTTGAAAAAATTGTGTCTTCAAAGTAATTAGTTAGAACCCCAGCACATCAGCAATGGAAGGTGAAAATCGCCTTACCATTAGTTTATCAAATTGTTCTCTAACAAGTCCTTAAGGTTCTTTTCTTTGCAAGCAGCTTTTGGGGCGAGATTGTTGAGCAGAAAGGAAACACCCTTTTGACCCAGTCTTTTTTTTTTTTTTTCATCTGTTTTATGTCTTCATAAAACCTTTTATTTTAAAAATGGGTTAGGGACTATGTTTTACTTACCTTTATATTCCTGGGCCATAGGACATTACTTGGTACTGACTAGAAACAATTTATTTCTGTTAAATAAAGTAGTTTAGAGGCTAATAAAGTGATTAAAAACAAATGTGTTGGTAGAAAATAAGACAAGGAAAAGCTGTTTCTTAATACTTTTTGAAAATTTTTTCAGCAACCTTATAGTGTTTTTTATTTTGTTCTATTGAAGGTGAGTAATCAATAATAATGAAAAAACTACAGCTTTTCTTTTGGAGTTAAAATTAGCCATTGTCTCTGTACATTTGATAGGAAACCATTCTAAGATTAGTAGTTTTTTTTTTTTTTTAAGACTTATTTTATTTATTTGAAAGAATTACAGAGGTAGAGACAGAGAGAGAGAGGTCTTCCATCCTCTGGTTCACTCCCCAAATGGCCTCAACAGCCAGAGCTGAACCTATGTGAAGCTAGGAGCCAGGAGCTTCTTCTGGGTCTCCTACGTGGGTGCAGAGGCCCAACCACTTGGACCATCTCCCAGTGCTTTCCCAGGCACATTAGCAGGGAGCTGGATCGGAAGTGGAGCAGCCGAGACTTGAACGGGTGCCCATATAGGATACCAGCACTAAAGGTGGTGGCTTTACCTGCTATGCCGCAACGCTGGCCCTGAGGATTAGTAGTTTTCAAATGCTAGTGACATTGATTTTTCTTTTCCTCTTTAATAAAAATATTTGTTTATTTGAAAGGCGGAGTGACACAGAGAGAGAGAATGAACACACACACACAAACACACACATGGAAAGACAGACAGAGGGAGAGACAGACAAAGAGAAAACCTTCCTTCTGCTGATTCACTCCCCCAAATGGCCTCAACAGCCAGATCTGGGTCAGGCTGAATCCAGAAGCCAAGAACTCCATCTTGGTTTCCCACATGAGTGGCAGGGCCCAAGTGCTTAGGCCATCTTCCACTGCCTTCCGAGGTGCATTAGCAGGGAGCTGGACAGGAAGCACAGTAGCCAGAACTTGAACTGGTATTCTGATAAGGGATGCTAATGGTGGCTTAACTTGCTGCACCATAATGTCAGCCCCAAAGTTGATTTTTCAGAAATTGAATTTATGTCTGAAATATGTAAAATATCAATCTAAGTGATTTCTCAAGTATCAGTTTATCAGGGCCATTGCTGTGGTGCAGAGGGTTAAGCTACCACCTATGATACCAGCATATACCAGATTCATACCAGAATGCTGGTTTGAATCCTGGCTTCTCCACTTCCAATTTAGCTACCTGCTAATACACCTGGGAAAGCAGTGAAGGATGGCCCGAGTGCTTGGGTCCCTGCCACCCAGATGGAGTTCTGAGCTCCTAATTCAGGTCTGGCCCAGCCCTAGCCATTGTGGCCATTTGGGAATGAAACAACAAATGGAAGATCTCTCTTTCTCTCCCTCTTTTTGTACCTCTGCCTTACAAATAAATAAATAAACCTTAAATAAATGTATCAATTTAGTGATTTCTGAAATGTATTCAAGAAAATATACAAAATGTTTGACAAGGGTCTCGACTGAAAACAACCTTAGGTAACTAGCAACATGATTAATCTAGATTTTTAGAACAATTTATTTATTTTCATTTTATTTGAAAGGCAGAGAGAGAGAAAGAGATCTTCCATCTGCTGATTGATGCTCCAAATTCCCACAACAGCCGAGGCTGGTCCAGGCCAAAGCCAAGAGCCTCCAGAACGCAATCTGGGTCTCCCCTAAAAAATGGAAGGGAACTAAGGACTTGACCCATCATCTACTGCTTGCTTGCTCTCTCTCTCTCTTTCTTTCTTTAGATTTATTTATTTATTTGAAAGACCTAGTTACAAAGAGGCAGAGGCTGAGAGAGAGAGAGATCTGCCATCTGCTGGTTCACTCCCCAGATGGCTGCAACGGCTGGAGCTACACCGATCCAAAGTCAGAACTGGCACCCACATGGGATGCCGGCACTGCAGGCTGTGGCCTTACCCGCTATACTGCAGTGCTGACCCTGCATCTACTGCTTTCTAGGGTGCACATTAGTAGGAAGCTGGTTCAGAAGTGGGACTCAAACTGGGTACTCTGATATGGGAGCTGCTGCACCAAATGCCTGCCCCATAAATATGGATTTTTGCAGGCACACTAAGACAAACTTGAGACAGAGACCATCCCATCTGGTTAGGAGAGTACTGTAATGGGTTGGTGAAAACAGCAGATGCAACAGTTAAGCACTAAGAAAAGCAGGAAGAGACTGAAGGGAAAAGAGTGAGGAGACAGTAAAGATGAACAGAAGAGACCAAGGAATATGAATCATTAAAGAACAGAAAAATTCAGACATCCATTTTGCAATTACATCAGTTAATGGCATGGAACAGTCTATATTAATACTGATATTAAAGATCAGTTTAGGCCGGCGCCGCGGCTCACTAGGCTAATCCTCCACCTAGCGGCACCGGCACACCGGGTTCTAGTCCCGGTCGGGGCGCCGGATTCTGTCCCGGTTGCCCCTCTTCCAGGCCAGCTCTCTGCTGTGGCCTGGGAGTGTGGTGGAGGATGGCCCAAGTGCTTGGGCCCTGCACCCCATGGGAGACCAGGAAAAGCACCTGGCTCCTGCCTTTGGATCAGCGCGGAGCGCCGGCTGCAGTGCGCCAGCCGTGGCGGCCATTGGAGGGTGAACCAACGGCAAAGGAAGATCTTTCTCTCTGTCTCTCTCACTATCCACTCTGACTGTCAAAAAAAAAAAAAAAAAATCAGTTTAAAGTTAATACCTGACTTTTCTAGAAAATTTTCATTTTTTAAAGATTTATTTATTTGAAAGGCAGAGATAATAGTGAGAGGGAGAGAGAGAGAAAGAGAGAGATCTTCCATTTGCTGGTTCACTCCCCAAATGGCTGCAACGACCAGGGCTGGGCCAGGCTGAAGCCGTGAACCAGGAGCTGTATACCTGTCGCCCACATGGGTGCAGGGGCCCAAGTACCTAGGCCATCCTCAGCTGCTTTTCCCAGGCTTGTTAGCAGAGAGCTGGATTGGAAGTGGAACTGCTGGGACTCGAATCAGTGGCCATATGGGATGCCCCCACTGCAGGCAGAGGCTTAACCTTCTATGCCACAGCACCAGCCCCTAGAAAATTTTAGATCAAGAGCTTTAAGCTATTTATAATGACACAATGACCACAATAAAAATGCAGTAAATAGAAATGTTAAAAACATACCTCTCTCTCTCTTTGCCTCTCCTTTGTAACTCTTTCAAATAAATAAATAAATCTTAAAAAATGCCTATATATTGTTATCAAGGATTATAGTAAAGTATAAAGAAAAGAAAATTATGTGGTCTCTGAAAAATATTAATATTACCATATGTCTGGAAAGCTAGAACCGTAAACATGTTTGTATAGTTTTTCCATTGTCTTATTTTGTATAAGCATAAGCAATCATTCATTATGTGTTGAAGTATAAAGTTGGAGTGTTATCACTGATTTATGTTCCCTTTATGTAAGTGATGGGAAGTATAAATGGAGAGACACTTATTAACAGAGAATAAGCAAGCAGAAAGAGAAAGGTATCATGGATGATCTTTAATAGCTGTGCTTAAGCATTTTAAATCTTTTTTATTTGCAAGAGAACCTTAGACAAAATTTTTTTTGGGTATATCCAAAAGAGTAACCCATAAAGCCTTGGTTTATTATGAAGTAATATGTGTGCGGTAATTGTCCATGTGGCTATCACAATGCATATTCTAAGAAAAAATTAAAGTTAGCATGGAAAGTATTATTTGGAATTGTTAAATACCTGATAAGAATGGGAAAATAAAATATCTGTACTGTTTTCAGGCAATAAATGAAGACTGTTAGTAGCTAATGCTGTATAATCAAACTCAGGTAACAAGTGGTCAAGTTTAGCATTCATGCATTTTATCAAAATGAAATTTGGGCTGCTTCATAAAGTAAATTATGTCACTGCTGCTAATAGAGTTGCAAAAAAGCCCACAAAGGTCAGAACTTTTATAGTGATCACTTTAGATGCCTTTGCCTCTTTTAGATGTTTGCAGACAAAGGAACTTTTTGTTTTGTTTTCTTTTGTTTGTTCACCAACATGCCTTGCCTGCTTTTTGCCATAGCTTTTAATTTAGGAGAAGCTACCAGCTTAGCTGCTGTTTGAATTATAGTTAGACAATAATTAACTTGCACAGGAAGTTAATCAACATTGGCAATTTGTTTTGTTTTTGGGACATTATGATATAGCATGACTTAGCACCACTGAACATTCTACTAGCTTCTATCCCTAATCTTGATTATGTCTGGTGTTAGGAAAAAATAACTATGGAATGCTTTATTTTGATAGTGTGCATGTTTTTGTTTTAATGCATGTTTGTAGTTGATTATTAAATGGCTTATCTTTAGCTCTGTTTTCTTAAGGCCAGTTGGATTACTGTCAATAAAGCAAATTTATTGTTCATTTGTAGTGCAACGTTTAACTGCCAAAGAATCACCTGACAGTTTGTTCCCAGAGCAGACGTCTTCTCTGAATTATTTGAGGCGGAAGAAAGAACGACCTTACATGCTGAATCTGAGTGGCACTGATTCATCCGGAGTACTCAGGCCAAGGCAAACCAGATTAGACAGTCCACTTAGCAATCGCTACGCAGGAGACTGGAGCAGCTGTGGAGAAAGCTACTTTTTAAATACAAAAGAAAATTTAAGTGATGTGGATTATGATGATGTGCCTTCAGATTACAGAGAAAATGCAGATTACAGCAAAATGGATGGACCAGAAATAATGATTGAACAGCCAATTCCCATGTCCAGAGAGTGTACATTTCAGACATATTTGACAGTGCAAACAATTGAGTCCACAGTGGATCGAAAAGTCAACCTCAAAGATCTACAAGAAAGTATTGATATTTTGATTGGCAATCTGGAACGTGAACTCAACAAGAACAAGCTTAATATAAGTGTTTGAGATTAAAGGAGCTTTATTTATTTATTTTAAAAATAATATCTTAAAATTTCAAATCAGTTTTTCCTTAAGCTTCCTACAGTGATGTTTTATTTTTTTTTTTACTCTTGAAGCCTTCAGTTAACTTCTACTAAATTAATGTGATTCAATCAGAAAAAAGCTATTCATTGATATGATTTTTGCTTACTAGAAAATTGTTCTGAGGGTAGAGATAACAGGGACATGTTGGGATCTTGTAGTGATCTTGCCAACTCTGTGGAGCTAAGTTTCACACGCACTTACAAGCAAACACGTAAGTCATTGGCCCATCCAGGCTGCTGGTCTTCAGAGGAACTGCTCTTCTGTAGCCGAACCGCGTTCCCTTCAGAGCAGCTGCTTCACCTGACTTGCAGTCTGAGTCCTGGTCACAGCAACATTGTTTGGTCACATTTCATTTGCAATGCAAATGCTGCTATTAGAAAACATTTTTATAAATAAGAGTGAAATTATGCAACTATTAATGTATTCTGTATTAACATTCAGTAATTATTTAAGCTTATAAAATAAATATTTTTATAATCCTGAAAATATGTATATAACTTATAAGTGCATTTATATATAGGTACTAGAATGGGAGAAGGGACTGTAGAATCACATGTATTTTTGAAGTATATATGTCACGAGGCCAAAATTACTGGTTTAAAATGTCTTTTTGGACATTTAAGTTAAAGAAGATTTACATTAAAACACCTGGGCAAAAAGCATTCTAGAAGCATCTTAATAAAAATGATAAGCTTTGAGTAACAAAGTCACAATATCAGCTGTGAAAAGTCATCTTTTAAGTTGAAATCCTCTTACTCCTTAAGGTACTAAGTGCACAGATGCCTGCACTGGTGACCTAGATTTTAAAAAACCATCTATTCTCTGCATTTTTGTATTCTGTTTTAAGTATTTATTTGTAGTAGCAAGTTCATACTTTGAGTTTCTAATTCTCCCCACTTGTTTCCAAAGAAACCATCTTGCCAGAATACTGTGTTACTGATTTTTAAAAATTAACTTATTTTGGCTAAGTGTGATAGTCATTGTAGCAATCGTAGCGGAGTTTGAAAATGTAAATTTAGGAGACTCTTAAGTTGAAATGTATTTTTTTAACTTTTATAATAAACTACAGACTATGTAATTTAAAAATTATAAATAAAATTTAAATCACCAACTTTAAGATGTAGCAGCCATTTACAAAACTGACATCCTGATATTTTTTCTAAATATTAAAGTATTTAACTATTTCTATGCAATATACATTGGTAAGCAGAATACCTTTTTATTTAATTCGAAAGTCCATTCATAAAAATATTTTATATGAAATTTTCATCTTCTTAAATCTTTTGTAGCATTCAGGAGAAAACCAAAATAATATGTGTCACCTATATGTATTGGTAAATAGGCAAAAGAAAGTACTTTTAAATGTTTTGTAAAAAAACCGTTTTCTCCCTTTTATTTACTCTATCATGTGTAATGTATGATATGAATAAGTTGTTCCAGAAATGTAAACACTTTGTTAAAATATTATAATTTTGATAAAGCTATTAATTATAATGATTAAGGACCACTTATTTTAATATTCTTCTTAAACAAAGGTGTTAAAGTATTGTGCCATCATGGATTATCCTTAAATATATGTTTTAACCTTTATTTGTCCAAAATTGAATTTTACAGAATCTGAAACACTTTGAAGTCCATGTTGTGTTATTGTGTTATCATGCCATTTTGGGTAGGAGTCATCCTGAAGTTAATCTCTGCCGTCTTAGAGAATTCTGGACATGTGGGTTGTCTAAATCACCGTCATTACTGTAAACGTCTTTTATGGTCTCTGCTGCATCCAGAAGTGCTGAGTAGCTTCAAGTGCCTTTACTTTAAATCCTTTTTTGAGTCCCTAATTTCCTGGGATCTTCCTACCCTTGACTGTCAACTGTCATACCCTCTGAGCCTATCAGCTCTAATGTGTATAGGACAGAAAAAAATGTTAACTTTGGTGCATGTACCTGGATGCAAGTTCCAGTCAGTTCAGGTGGGTGGGATAGAGAGTGAATGCACTCCTCCCTGCCATCCACAGCGGTCCTCCTGCTCGGAGGTAACAGCGTGCTTATTGCTGCAGTGTCTTCATTTGTCATTTAAGCAGATCTGTTGACTGTCCGTTATGAGCCAGCAACTAATGCCCTTCCTTCTCACCATTGTTGTTAGTTACATTTTAAATTATTTTTGGCTTCCTTTATAATTTTTAGTTTTTGAGAAACTGCATATGACTCACATTTTTCCTACATGTATTGATTCTAAAACCTGCAAAATAGGTACTAGCAGTTGGGCGGGATCATGTGAAGTATTCAGGGTAAACCAGGTGATTCGTCTTCTTGTATGCATCCATCTCATATCCTGTAGGCTGTGCTGATTTAAGCAGAATATTCCAGCTTAGCGTTCAAATGGATTCTTTTTTCTTACAGCCACTAACTTCTCCAAATCATGCCCTGTGCTTTTTGCTTCATAATTGAGTTATGGCTATTGCAGATTTTAATTTTTCCTGGAGTATACAATTGTTTTGTAAAGCTTCTTGATTGAAGAAAATGCTTGATTTATGGTAACTTTTAAAAATCATACTGAGGCCGGCGCTAATCCTCCTCCTGCGGTGCCGGCACACCGGGTTCTAGTCCTGATCGGGGCACCGGTTCTGTCCCGGTTGCTCCTCTTCCAATCCAGCTCTATGCTGTGGCCCAGGTCCTTGGGCCCTGCACCCAATGGGAGACCAGGAGAAGCACCTGGCTCCTGGCTTCGGATCAGCACGGTGCACCGGCCGCAGCGCGCCAGCCGCAGCAGCCATTGTGGGGGTGAACCAATGGAAAAGGAAGACCTTTCTGTCTGTCTCTCACTGTCCACTCTGCCTGTCAAAAAATAATAATAAAAAATTTTAAAAAATAAAAATCATACTGAATTGAATTACCAAATTTGTTAGAGTACTTTTAAGCCCTTTTTCTAGGATTGCTGAATTTTGTACTGTCTTTCCTTTTCTTTTTTTTCAAAGATTTATTTATTTATTTGAAAGAGTCACAGAGAGGGAGGGACAGAGAGAGATCATCCATCCACTGGCTCATTCCCAAATGGCTGCAATAGCTGGGACTGAGCCTTGCTTAAGCCAGGAGCCAAGACCTTCACCTGGATCTCCCATGTGGGCAGCAAGGGCCCAGGTGCCAGAGCCATCCTCCCCTGCTTTTCCTAAGACATTAGCAGGGAACCAATTTGGAAGTGGAACAGCCAGGATGTGTACTGGCACCCATATGGGATGCCAGCTTTGCAGCTGGCGGCTTGACCCACTATGCCACAATGCTGGCCCCCTTTATTTTTCTTGACAGAAGAAAAATACATTCTTCACTTTAACCTGAGATCAGGTTATACATCTTAACCACCTCACTTTATTTGAGAGGAAGAGGCAGAGAGAGAGAGAAAGGTCTTCCATCCACTAGTTCACTCCCCAAATGGCTACAACAGCCAGAGCTTGGCCGATCTGAAGCCAGGAGCCTGGAGCTTCTTCCGGGTCTCCCATGTGGGTGCAGGGACCCAAGGGCTTGGGCCATCTTGTACTGCTTTCCCAGGCCATAGCAGAGAGCTGGATGGAAAGTGGAGCATCTGGGACTTGAACCAGTGCCTGTATGGGATGCTGGCACTGCAGGCAGCAGCTTTACCCACTATGCCACCACGCCAGCCCCTGAATTTATTTCTTGGTTAGCGTATTTACAAGTGTTTTGCCCCCAGAATTGTTATATGGAAGATACACTTTGTGTCTTCATATGTGTGGAAAGAGCATGATTTCTTCATGCTTCATTTTGATTGAGCCTACAGTTCTGTGTTCAAACTGATTTTCCTTACAGGTTAGAAGACATTTCACTGTCATCATCAGGTATCCATTTTTACATAATCCAGGCTAGATAGATAGTTGTTCAGACTAGAGGAGAAGCAATAAATGTCATAAATGGATTCCGGGTCTATTTTTCTTTTATTTTTTGTTTATTTTATTTGAAGAGCAGGGAGAGAGAGTTTCCATCTGCTGGTTCACTCCCCAAATGCCTGGCATTGGGCCATGCCATCCAGGACCCTGGAACTCCATTTGAGTCTACCATGTGGGTGTAGGGGCCCAGCTACTTAGGCCATCACCTACAACTTCACAGGGTACATGTTAGCAGCAAGCTAACAGGAGTGGTTCAAGCTAACAGGATCAAGAGTGGAGCTGGGACTCAAACCCAAGCACTCCAATATGGTATGTGGGTGCCCAAGTGGCATTTTAACTACCAGGAAAACACCTGCCCCTGTGGGTATATTTTGAAGTAGAAGCCAAAGGAATATGCCAGTGGACTATGAAGTGCATAGGGTCTGAGCAGCTGAAGGAGGGAGTTGTCGTAGAATGAAGTTGAAATCACTCCATATTTTTAAGATGTGTTCCTAGGGGTCAGCACTGTGGCTCAGTGGGTTAAGCAGCTGCTTGTGTTGCTCACATGCTGTATCAGAGTTCCAGTCTGAGTCCTAGCTGCCCTGCTTCTGATCCAGCTCCCTGCTGGATGTACTTGGGAAGGCAGCAGTTGATGGTACAAGTAGATGAACCCCTGCCACCCACTGGGAAGACCTGGATGAAGTTCCTGGCTTCTGGCTTTGGTCTGGCCCAGGCATGGCTGTTGCTGCCATGTGGGGAGTGAACCAGTGAATAAAAGATTGATTCATTCTCTCTCTTTCTCTCTCTGCCTTTCAAGTAAATAAATCTGCCTTTTAAATCAATACATCCTTAAAAATATAAAAATAAAAGAGTTCCTTTTATTGGATGTTAGTATTATTAAAATAGTAGTTACCAAAATGCCTTACAGTTTCCTGCTGGTACACTAGTATTTCTGTAACTGGTAATGCTGTGCAGAGTCACTGCTGGAGTAACAAAGCAAGAAGACTTCATGCATGTTGAAGTAAAGTCTCACATAATAGCTGGTTTGGGAACTTTTCAGATTGTGTTAGCTTTATGTTAGGGACCCTAAAGAAACCAGGTGCAGCACAGGTACTGTTTCTGAAAAGAATTTTATTTGCAGAACACAGATGACATTGAAGGTTAGGATTTGATAATTTAAAGTGCCAAATTTCGAGCACTTCAATATAATAAAGTAGTATTATGTCTAATCATAACAAGTCCTAATTTGGATCTTCCTGGCCTGAGGCCTGTGCTAACAAAAGAAAATGCCATTTCCCCTGCCCAGTTTTCATGTTGACTTCAGTAAGGCTCACATCTGATAAGCAGTTTAAGGCTACAACAAAGAGTTCTTGGCTGCATTCTAACTTAGCCAAAGACTGACTGGCAAACTCAGAAACTTTTTTTTTTTAATTTAAATAATGCATCAGAGGAAAGAAAGGTTTTAGGGTGCTAATTTTTTTCTTTTTAATATCTTGATACAGGTGATGGTTACATACTTAGTGTTTGTGCCCCTTATATGAGTCATACTTTATTTTTTAAAGTCAGTTTTTAAGAAATAGGCAAGCTAGCCGGCGCCGTGGCTCAATAGGCTAATCCTCCACCTTGCGGCGCCGGCAAACCGGGTTCTAGACCCGGTTGGGGCGCCGGATTCTGTCCCGGTTGCCCCTCTTCCAGGCCAGCTCTCTGCTATGGCCAGGGAGTGCAGTGGAGGATGGCCCAGGTGCTTGGGCCCTGCACCCCATGGGAGACCAGGAAAAGCACCTGGCTCCTGGCTCCTGCCAGGATCAGCGCGGTGCGCCGGCTGCAGCGGCGGCCATTGGAGGGTGAACCAGCGGCAAAAGGAAGACCTTTCTCTCTCTGACTCTCTCTCTCACTGTCCACTCTGCCTGTCAAAAAAAAAAAAAAAAAAAAAAAAAAGAAATAGGCAAGCTGAAAAAATGGAGAATACGCAGACACTCAGAGAGGTAGATGGTCAGACTGACAGCAGACAAGGCCAGCCATGCCTGGTCTTGGTGCTGCTGTTGCTGTTGCTGTCACCAAACAGCCACACGTGCACCACTGTGTTCATTATGAAACACCCCTGCTTTTCTGCATCGTTCCTGATTCAAAACCCTTATAGAGGCATCAGATTGAATCCCAGCTTCAAGGAGCAGAAAGTAGCTTGCATCCTTTCCCCAAAACTTCCACAGTGGTTAAACTCTGTGACTACGAGGAGACTGGCAGGACGAGCAGAACAAGCAGTGGCCAATGTCCACATCTGACCCTGTTCCCCCAGACGAGTCTGTCTCACCCACCGTAGCCCACTTGTCTCAACAGGTGTGAGTGCGTGTGTCCTGCAGAGGCATTTGAGTTTGTCATGGCTGATGCCCTAGTCTAAGCCACCATCATCTCAGTCTCTTCCTATGCATCTCCGCTATCACTCTCTTCTCCACACCCATGGTCCATTTTCTTTGTAGAAGCTAACGGAGTCTTAGAAAGATCCATCACCTCCTGTCCTAGGTCTTCTTCCTTGCTCTCTGTGCTCTGGCATTCCCTCCTGGGGTCCTTGCACTTGCCATTCCCTCTGGGAAGCTGTTTGTCTGGCTCATTCTTTGGTAGTCCCATTTTGTCATTCACTTCTGTGCTCAAATGTCACTTCAAAGAGGCTGCCTCTGAAAAGCAAATCAGTACCCTGCCTGGAGAGTCAGAGGAAAAAAGGAAATGGAGATTTGTTTCTTGTAACAAGTACTAGTTATGGCACTATTTGATTAAACAAGAAGAAAAGCTTTCAGAAACTATATCCACACCCACTGTCACTGTTTGTCATATCACCCTGGTTTACTTTCATCAAGACATTAGCTGAAATTGCATTGTTTTACTTGCTTATTGTCCATGTCCACCCTCTGGAATGTAATCTCCATGGCAGCAGGGACCTTGTATATCTAGTTCATTGCAATATGTGTAGGACTGTAACGGAAGATGTTCAATTAATTGTCAATAAATGAATGCCTAGACAGAGGCTTGGCGAGTGTTGTCTCCTTGTTAGGAAAAGACTAAGGATTGTAAGATGCAATGTCTGTAATTTAATAAATATTCACTTCTGAATAATAAATTACTTGTGGTTAAGAAGTAATGCTATCAATATTTTTTAATGATTTGTCTTTGGGAATTACACTGGTCTTGGGAAAATTAGTGACTTAAGCTACTGAGTTGGTAAAATTTGGGTAATGTTTCCTGTTTTTGGACAAGTATATGAAAATGTACATCTAATCAGTAGAAAGGTCTCTAAGAAAGATTTTGATAAAATACATCGTTTATTTCTTTACAGATATTGTGAACAAAATGTGTCCTGTTTTGACCTGTTTCATATATTAATGTGGGCTTTTTTTAGAAATGGAGAAAACCTACTTTTAATTTTATTAAAGGAAAATATTTCCATAAATTTAAATGAACCCTATACATAGAATTCTTCATTATTAGAAAGAATAACAGAGAAACCACTGTGCGGAACAGGTGCAACATTTAATGTTTTTATTTTGTTCAGTGTTAAGTGTTTGTTTTAAGCAAGTGAGGAAAAATGTCTACATATTCCCCTGGGTTCCAAGGGTTAACTTCATCCTTAGTTGTTTGATAAGGCCCCTTGGCATGCTTGTAAGTCATTTGGAAGTTAATCTTGCTTTTTTGCTTGATGGATGTGTAGATGTAGTGAAAGCTTCATGTTGACTTCAATTTTCTATATACATCTTTGACTGGAAATTCCACTCTTCATCATGAACTCTTCCAAGGAGAGTTTAGAATTCCAACTTTAGAATAAAGTACAACGGATGGTAACTGAGAAAGGGGACAGCCCTTGGCATTCAAGATGTGTTTTTTGTAGATTGTGAATCAACATGCTTTCAGGTCACTTTTTTTTTTTTTTTTTCACAGCTGCAGATATTAAACAGTGACCCCTTGTTCTTGACCTTTGTTCAAGAAATGAGGTAGAGGTTGCCAACCTGTTTGCGTCTGTTCTTGCCAAGCTTTTTTCCCCTTGTAGCCGTTATAGAACCCACTGTTTAACCGAAGGGCAAATGTGAATCATGAGGTAAGTGAAAACTGCTTGTCTAAACTGGTAGATAAGAAATGTCAGAGTATAAAGTGCCATTTGTCCAAGTTTGAGTCTGCATTCCATATGTCTGCATTCCATATCAAACTCAACTGTGTGGCCAAATTATACATGTAAGAAGCTGCATCTATGTGTCTTCTGCTCAACATTTTATTATGAACACTTTCGATATAAAGAAAATTGGCAAGGGGCTGGCATTGTGGCATCATAAGCTAAGCTGCCACCTGCAATGCTAGCATCCCACAGTGGAGCCCTGTTCGACTCCCAGCTACTCCATTTCTGATCCAGCTCCCTGCTAATGTGCATGGGAAGATAGCAGGTAATACCCCAAGTACTTGGGCTCCTGCCACCCATATAGAAGACTAGGATGGAGCTCTGGGCTCCTGGCTTTTGCGTGGACCAGCCCCAGCCATTGTGGCCATTTGGGGAGTGAACCAGCATATGGAAGATTCTCTCTCTCTTTCAAATAAAAATTAAATCTTTTTTAAAAAACAAAAGGTTAAAGAGAGAGAGAAAGAATAGATGGAGGGAGGGAGAGAGAAAGGAAGGAAAGATTGAAAATTATACAATGGACATCCATGTGTTTGTAATGAGATCTGTAACGGTAAGCATTTTTACTGCATTTGCTTGATCACGTATCCATTATCTGCCTTAATTTTTGGAGTATTCTGAAGTAAGATGTGGGCATCAGTTCTTTTTGCCATAAGTCTCATTTCAGAAGGCAAAAGAAAAAAAACGGAAATGGAACTAGGGATGAACTTTTTGTGATTTTAATTTCTAAAAGGGTCACATGATGTGGGAATTCACTATAGATTGTAGGAGTTATCAGTGGTAGAAAGATTGATATTGCTACTTCTAGCCTCTAAAAGGATAATAAGTATTTTAGGTAGCACTGGTGCTGTGGCACAGCAGATTAACACCCTGGCCTGAAGCGCTGGCATCCCATATGGGCGCTGGTTCGGAACCTGGCTGCTCCACTTCTGATCCAGCTCTCTGCTATGGCCTGGGAAAGCTGTAGAAGATGGCCCAAGTCCTTGGGCCCCTGCAACTGCGTGGGAGACCCAGAGGAAGCTCCTGGCTCCTGGCTTTGGATTGGCGCAGCTCTGGCTGTTGCAACTAATTTGGGAGTGAGCCATCAGATGTAAGACCTCTCTCTCTCTCTTTCTCTCTCTCTCTGTCTTTCTCTCTTTCTCTCTCTCTCTCTCTGCCTTTCCTCTCTCTGTGTAACTCTGACTTTCAAATAAATAAATAAATCTTTTTAAAAAAGTATTTCAAGTGTCTTGTGATCCTTTCCACACTACTTTTAGCTGTCCTAGACTCCCAGAATTCATAAACAACATTTATTATTTCTACCATATGCAAATACTACATGTAATATTTTCTTATGTTTTCTAAAATAATCTTTTTTCAGTTAAACTTACTTTTAGAGTAAAACTTCATATTGCAGCCATAGATTGAAACTAAGCAGAGATTTTTTTCTATACACTAAATTCATAACTATTAACTATTAATTAGGATGTGTATGTTGTATGTACTGTTATATATACCTTGGCATGCATAATGCACTTTGAGAAATACTGAGCTACATTCTCTGTCCTTATCCCTTGTTCTCTCACAAATACTAGGACACAAGCAAAGTCAATTTGGGCATGTTGATAACACCAGGCTGTTCACTATTTTTTTAAATATTTATTTATTTATTTATTTGAAAGTCAGAGTTACACACAGAGAAGGAGAGGCAGAGAGAAAGAGAGGTCTTCGATCCGCTGGTTCACTCTCCAGTTGGCTGCAATGGCCAGAACTATGCCGATCCAAAGCTAGGAGCTTCTTCCGGGTCTCCCACGTGGGTGCAGGGGCCCAAGCACTTGGGCCATCTTCTACTGCTTTCCCAGGTCATTGCAGAGAGCTGGATCAGAAGTGGAGCAGTCAGAACTTGAGCTTTGGAGGCCCCTCACTAGCAGGAAGAGAACTCACGCCCAATCCTTATAGACTTCTTGGTGCTATGGCCCTGACCATGTTATCTTTTGCACTTTGTTTCCACTCATACTTTTAACCCTCTCCTACCAGTATCTCTTTCCCTGAACTACCTCTATCGTAACAGAGATGGAAGGAGACCAATGCACCTATACTTCCCGCCTGAGATTAGAACCAAGACCGGGGAGCTGGATAGACAGAGGTGAAGATACCTCTGTGACTTGAGTCCTGTGTAAATGCATTAAGAACTGTCAATTAATGGCTGCGGACAGACAGATGTGAGAAGCTGAAATGGCCAGTGGTCTTCCAGAACTAAGTGTGACATGGGAATGCAGTAGCAGCACTCAAGGGCCCCACACACAGAGAGAACCGAGAGAAACTAAGGAGTTTCTCTGAAACTTTCTTAGGCCCAGGCTTTAAAGTGGGTTTAGCAAGCTCTGTTCATCAACACCCTCCTATTTCAATCAGGTCATGAGTCCATCTTCTTCCAACTGAGACTCACACATTA